AAAGATTCATTAAGCGTGTGGACTGAGGTAATTTGGTGTGTGGAAATAGAATTTCCCTCATTGGGCTCCTTTCTTGGTTTCTCCTTGTGTCTCCATCTACTCACGTTAGATTCAATAAGTACTTAGATTCAATAAGTACAAAATTGATAGCCTTACATTTGACAAATTTTAAAACAATTTCCTCACTTATTTTGAGAGACTTTGTGTCAACTATTAAATTGTTACTCATATGCTCATGGACTCTAATCTATAACTTGAATTTAAAATCTTAATCCTATTCAAATCAATCCGACTGCATGGTCCTACGAATAAGAGGTTGCTCATAATATTGCAATTCTTGTCCAAAAGTTAGGATGACATTTAGCAACTGTCAAATACTCTATTCCTTTTTTTCTTTTTCTTTTTACCTCAAATCATGGTTGAAATTTTGAAAATAATAATATAAATCACAAAATATTCCTCATGTGATGACTTGAAAAAGTAAAGAACGGTGTTCAAAACAAGAAGCCTTTGCACGGTAAGTATCCTTTGGAGCTTGATCATCATCCCGTATAATTTTTTAATATTTTTTTCTATCAGCCCAATTGCTCACCAGATATCCGTAAAAAGTCTTGCATTGTTAAAAACATTATTTATATATTGAAACAAAATAGAACTTGAATTTGAACCTATAAAGTTACCAATTTTCCCAAAAGCCTAAGCTGTTAGGAAATGAGCCCAACAATAAATATCAAGCTGTTTAACACCCCCCCTCATGTGTAACCCCATCTTGCACGCAAAGAGACAAACAGAGAACCAAACAGAAGGAGAAGCAGACAACCAAACAGAGAAGAATAAATCAAACGGGGACTAAATACCAAATGTCAATAGAAAGACTTGAACCCAAGACCTCTTTCAAAGAGAGCTTAACCTATTAGGAAATGGGCCCAACAATGTATATCAAGCTATGTAACAAAATCTAACAAACAAAACTTCACTCAGCAAAGGCTAATCATCATCCAACACAAGCCTTTTGTGCGAAATTAGTGACACTCATTGTAAAAATTTATGTATTATTGATTGATTGTTGATATATATGTCTATTACAAATGGTTCCTTATATAGATGTAGGTGTAGTGGAGTAGGTGGTGGTAGGTGAGGAGTAGGTGAGTGTAGGTGAGTGTAGTAGGTGAGTGTGTGGTAGGTGATGGTAAGTGTGTGGTAGGTGATGGTAAATTTTAACAGCCCCCCGCAAACTCAAGGAGGATAGAAACTAACCAACTTGAGTTTGGAGAGAGTAACAAAACAAGAAAATACATAAAAATAAAAGAGGATAGGAGACACTGTATGGTCGTGTCAGACCATTGGTGAAGACACTGGATGGTGGTGTCATAACGTTGTAGAGGACACTGTATAGGGGTGTCATAACGGTGTAGAGGACACTGGATGGCGGTGTCAGACCGATGTAGAAGACAGTTTATGGGGTCATGTCGGACCGTTGTAGAAAAACAGTTTATGGGGTCATGTCGGACCGTTGTAGAAAAACAGTTTATGGGGTCATGTCGGACCGTTGTAGAAAAACAGTTTATGGGGTCATGTCGGACCGTTGTAGAAAAACAGTTTATGGGGTCATGTCGGACCGTTGTAGAAAAACAGTTTATGGGGTCATGTCGGACCGTTGTAGAAAAACAGTTTATGGGGTCATGTCGGACCGTTGTAGAAAAACAGTTTATGGGGTCATGTCGGACCGTTGTAGAAAAACAGTTTATGGGGTCATGTCGGACCGTTGTAGAAAAACAGTTTATGGGGTCATGTCGGACCGTTGTAGAAAAACAGTTTATGGGGTCATGTCGGACCGTTGTAGAAAAACAGTTTATGGGGTCATGTCGGACCGTTGTAGAAAAACAGTTTATGGGGTCATGTCGGACCGTTGTAGAAAAACAGTTTATGGGGTCATGTCGGACCGTTGTAGAAAAACAGTTTATGGGGTCATGTCGGACCGTTGTAGAAAAACAGTTTATGGGGTCATGTCGGACCGTTGTAGAAAAACAGTTTATGGGGTCATGTCGGACCGTTGTAGAAAAACAGTTTATGGGGTCATGAGGACAAAGAATGAAGAAAGAGAAGTCCATCGGAAAAACAGTAATTAGTATATATCAAAAATAATTTATGACTATGCTCATGGAAAAACAGTGTTCCTCATTAATTGAAGTCAAACAAACAATTAAAGGAATATATTTTGTCTCTACACTAAGGATCATTACTACATGAGAAGATACCACCATTTGTCATCGAACAACGAATTTCGCACAAAATTAGCACGAATGATTTTTGGATAAATTACACTGATACCCCCTCTATTTAGTTGAAATAGCACTTTCACACCACATATTATCTAAAATACTATTACCTACCCCACACTCTATATCGGAATGGTTAATTTAATAAAATACCCATGTTATTTTAACGATATTAAAAGAATGAAGTAACTAGAATGGAAAATGACCATTACACCCTTATTTGTATCTACCTATATAAATCAACCAAAGCTCTCCACCACACTTCTCATCTCCCTCCATTAGAGGCGTCTCACAAAGATGTTTCTCTCTCACTATTCATCGTTCTCCACTTTTCTTCTCCCTCTAACTTCGCTATCTCTCTTCTTAGACTATTGCAAAATTCTCTGTCTATTCATCATTGTGATAAACCAGAAGGTTAGGATCCAAGACCGTTGAAATTGGCAGTGGGGTTTCTACGGAGAAATTTTCATTTTCTTTTGGTTTTGAAAGCGTGTTAACAAATGGGTTTGCTCACAAAAAGAACTTACATTCATGGGTTAACGAAAAAATTCAAAATTGGGTTTGATGTGTTTTTGTAAAATTGTTTATTTGTTTGTATTTGCGATGTAGGAGCCTTGAATCTGCTCATCAAGTGTTTTATAGAATGCCAAATTGACACTATTATGCTTAACACAATGACTGATGGTTAGGAAGCACAGTTATGGACACGGGACATAGTGAGGATATGGTAAAAGAAATATTTTTATATATTTTTATTTTCCATGTATCTAAATATTATAATCATAAACAACCAACTTAATAAAAATAAAAAACTAAAACTAAAACCAAATTTAAATTAGCCAGAGTCTAGAGGTCCATGTTGCATTAGGATCTAAGGATAGGTAGAAATCGGTCTCTTAACTTCAAAATTGTGTCTAAATTTGTGTAGTGTGGTGTTGTCGATAGTTTGACGAGTTCTATATTTTTTTAGAATTCAACCCTTATGTTACCAAATATTATAATATGACCCTCAAAGTGTATCCCTACATGTCCATATTGTGTCCTCTGAAGAAAAATAAATAAATTAATTAATTAAATGGCCACGCTAATAATTAAATGGACACGCCACGTGGCATGTCCCTTACTTGTCCGACACAGTTACGACACCTATTTTTTAGTATTGGTGCTTCATAGATTGAACGGTATTTAAAGTGTGGGGTGATTTATTTGGCATGCAAGTTGTTTTAATTTTATGCCCATGGAGATGAAGAATTTGAACTCTTATAATTCTATGAGTATGGGGCATGCACAATCAGAATATGGATTTAAGATTGCTTGGAAGTTTGTTTGCAAATATGTGAAAAAGACTTAATTTCTTGGAATTTGATAATCCTTGGTTGTATGAAAACAACGGAGGGTGGTAATTACTCATGCTTCATTTAATGAGATGCCTGAAAGAGATTTCTTTAGTTGGGCCAATATGATCCATGGTTATGCTGAATTAGGCAGGATTGACATTGCTAGGGCTTTGTTTGATAAAATGGTTGAAAAGGAAGTAATATCTTGCATTGCTTTGATGGGTGGGAATATTCAAAATAGATATTGCAAGGAAGGAAGCATTGAAACTTTTTTTGTGATTTGCAAAGTGGGGATAATTTGTCTCCAGACAACACCACTTCATCAATTGCTTTTTATGCAATTGGGAAATTAGAATGCATTGATGAAGGGGTATCAATGCATTGCCACATTAAGGAAAATGAGTTTATTTTGGGTAGAAAACTGGGTGTTGCCCCTCAGAGAAATGTATTCAAATTGTAGCAACATAGAGCATGTGGATATTGAAGAAGCATAAGAAAAACGTATTGACCATTGCAATGCTATGATTTGTCGGTTTGCTATTCATGGGTGGGGTGAACTGGGTTTTAAATTGTTTATAATGATGACGAACCAAATGATATCACATTGATTGGAGACTTAAATGCTTGTGGCAATGCTGGTTTGGTGAAGGAAGGAATGTTATATTTTGACCTTATGAGAAGAGTTAACAAGTTATCGTTTGTGTTTTGTCGTAGATTTGGACTGCAGATTTTGAATTCCCCTCTTCCTCGTCTAGTTGCAAGTATACGCATCTATAACATATCCCACCACTGGTTATATATATAATTGAAACATTTCAAATGAAATTTAACGCAAACTCATTTGGATTTCATTTTCATTTAAGGTTATAAAAGGACATTTTGTACCAAATACCAACTATATAACGGCAATGTTGCCATTTGAAGCCATCTTTTAGTTGATGTCAGGCTTTTTTATTCAGTCAACTAATGGTTGAACGACGGAAGAGCTATTTTGTTACACGATTTTTTAAAGCAAGGGGTGGCAGTGGTATTTTGACTACTAAGGGAGTGACACGGCATTATTTCAACTAAACAGAGGGGGTGTCTGTAATGTACCCTTCTTTTTTTCTGGATCAGTAAAAAGAATTATTAGTATAAATAATTGAAGAGCATAATCCATTTTTAACTTTGTAACATTAAGATATCTTCACTCAAGGAACAACACTACCACTTGTTTAGATCACAAAACTTTGGTCCACTGTGTAGATATGCACAAACAATTCATTTTAATATTCTGTGGTTATACTGATCGATATTCAATATTTAGAAGTACATCAATATGGGTGTTTAATTTTTGGATTGATAAAATATAAAATGCATAGCTAAAATGAACCAAAAGTTATACCTCTGTACCACCACCAGTATTAAGCCTACCAACCTCTCCTCCACTTGCAGTAATACGCTCTCTCCCAGCAACATAGAGCATGTGGATATTGAAGAAGCATAAGAAAAACGTATTGACCATTGCAATGCTATGATTTGTGGGTTTGCTATTCATGGGTGGGGTGAACTGGGTTTTAAATTGTTTATAATGATGACGAACCAAATGATATCACATTGATTGGAGACTTAAATGCTTGTGGCAATGCTGGTTTGGTGAAGGAAGGTATGTTATATTTTGACCTTATGAGAAGAGTTAACAAGTTATCGTTTGTGTTTTGTCGTAGATTTGGACTGCAGATTTTGAATTCCCCTCTTCCTCGTCTAGTTGCAAGTATACGCATCTATAACATATCCCACCACTGGTTATATATATAATTGAAACATTTCAAATGAAATTTAGCGCAAACTCATTTGGATTTCATTTTGTACCAAATACCAACTATATAACGGCAATGTTGCCATTTGAAGCCATCTTTTAATTGATGTCAGGTTTTTTTATTCAGTCAACTAATGGTTGAATGACGGAAGAGCTATTTTGTTACACAATTTTTTAAAGCAAGGGGTGGCAGTGGTATTTTGACTATTAAGGGAGTGACACGGCATTATTTCAACTAAACGGAGGGGGTGTCTGTAATGTACCCTTCTTTTTTTCTGGATCAGTAAAAAGAATTATTAGTATAAATAATTGAAGAGCATAATCCATTTTTAACTTTGTAACATTAAGATATCTTCACTCAAGGAACAACACTTCCACTTGTTTAGATCACAAAACTTTGGTCCACTGTGTAGATATGCACAAATAATTCATTTTAATATTCTGTGGTTATACTGATCGATATTCAATATTTAGAAGTACATCAATATGGGTGTTTAATTTTTGGATTGATAAAATATAAAATGCATAGCTAAAATGAACCAAAAGTTATACCTCTGTACCACCACCAGTATTAAGCCTACCAACCTCTCCTCCACTTGCAGTAATACGCTCTCTCCTGATGAAACATTAAAAAGTAAAGCCTTCGTAGAAGGAGTCTCTAACACGAGGCACAAAAATAAAAAATATATAACTTACTCTTCCACACTGCATTCAAGCCTATGATCTGCTGACAGATAATATATTTCACCTTCAGCTGATTCAAGTATGCAACGGGAATCACCAACTGATGCTACAGTTAATACCCATCCTTCAATAATCATAAAGGTGACAGTTGTCCCTGAAGTTTGTGCTGATATGCAATCAAGACAGTGTGTAAGTACCATGTCTACATTTGAGAGAGAGAGAGAGAGAGAGAGCTCCTATCGATTTTCAATATGCGGTTATAATTACAAAGAAAACTAAAGCAAAAAACATGCAGCACTTTAAAGAACTATTTATTTATTTCTTTGTGGGGAACAAGTTAAATAAATGCCTATTGTTTGACAAATGAAATGAGAATTCTCATCAATTGTTATTACCAACTTGCAACCAGGGGTGGAGCTACATAGTGAGTAGTGGGTTCAATTGAACCACTCAACTTTGAATTTTTTTTAGAATTATATAAAATTTTAATTAAAATTTTTTAGAGGTTTTTGTAAATTAATACCACTAAAATTGTTAAAAAATAAATATGATGGTGTCAAAATAATTTACAAACATAAAGTTTATACAAAAATCCATTCAAAATGATATGCCAATGATATTTTAAAATCATGAGGTAATGGTGACTGTTTTATAAAAAATGACAAAAAAAAGAAAAAGAAAAAAAGGAAACACAGTTATATCATTCTATATAAATATTGGATTTGGCTTCTCTCAAGTTAGCCATCTCAACTTGAGAGACTGTTTGGATTTGTTAGGCCAATTTTGGGGCACCTTTAATGAGTAGAATATTCATGCAAAATATCAAGATGATTAGACATCAGTAACTATATGTTTGAATTACATAGGTATTACAAAAAAAATGGATGGCTATTCTTAAAATTATATTTATCGTCCATTTTTTAAAACAAATATAATTCAAATATATAGCTTCCGATGTCCAATCATTTTGATTTTTTGCATGAATATTTTACTCAATGAGTGCTAAAAAGTAAACGGTTCAGATCACCGAAATCGGTCCCAAAATGGGCCTACCAAGCCCACACACTCTCTCAAGTTGTCAACTCGAGAGAAGCCAAACCCATAAATATTTTGTTTATTAATTTTGTCAAGGATACATTAAATACTCTTAACTATCTCCACTATCATAGAAAATATGAAAGACTAAATATATTTGTTAGAGACTAAACTATCCTTTTCTCCAATTCCTTCTATTTTAACATTATATACTTTTCATAATAGAGTATGTTTGTTTTTTTAACATTTTTTTTTGATCATAAAAGTAAACGCCTTCTAAAAGTTAAGAAATAAAAATTATAAGGTGCAAGGAAAATAAAGGACATAATTTTCATGATTTTTTTTTTTATAATTTTTATATGTCCTTTATTTTTATAACAAATATCAAAAAATTATATACCCTTTATTTTATTTTTTTTCAATTTTTAGATTCATTTTTCTTACACCATATAATTTAATTATGATTGAAAATAGAGGAGTAAATGCCTTCAAAAAAATTTAAAAAAAGTGAATGCTGTAAGGAAAGTAAAGGACATAATTTTCATGATTTTTTTTTAATTTTCATATGTCCTTTATTTTATAACAAATACAAAAAATTATATTCCCTTTATTTTTTTTTCAATTTTTAGATTCATTTTTCTTGCACCATATAATTTAATTATGATTGAAAATAGAGGGCATTTAAATTTTTTTTTTTAAAAAAAAAAAACCACAAAATGCTTTTAAAAATAAAGGCATTTAATTTGATGATAAAAAAAAATTTAAAAAAAGAAAAGAAAAAAAAGAAGCTCCATTATGAAAAGTATATAATGTTAAAATAGGAGTTGGTAAGAAGGGTAGTTTAGTCTCTATCAAAATATATTTATAATCTTTCCTCTTTTCTATGATAGTGGAGGTGATTAATAGTATTTAATGCATGTCTTAGGTCACTTGTTGCAAAACACTTTGTTTATATATCATTATCTTTTTATAAAAAGTAAAACTTAGCTAAGAGTTTATCCTAATCACAGCCTTTGGCTTAATGGTTATGTAGCACCACTTTATGGAGTAAAGTTACGGATTCCAGCTCTTATGGAGAGAAATTTGATATCGTTTGTGGTGTTATACCCCTAGGAATTGTACGTAGATTATTTCTTATCAACTTTGGGCTTTGTTTTATTGTTAGACAGGGTTATGGTTATTGAGCTTGGTATATTGTTGGACTTTAATTTTCTAGTTTGATGTAATAGTTATCATCTATCTATCTATCTTCTATATCTCTGCTATTATTAAGTGAAGGCCTCAGTTGGTGTAGAAACCTTTGCTCTCCTCATGCCACGTGGCATTATTTTTTATTTAAAAAAGAAAAAGAAAAAAAACATACACAAAGAGATGGGTAAGGCTTGAACTCATGACCATAGGTTTAATGTAGGACTCATACCACTTAAGCTAAGTACATATTATAATATTATTTTCTTTTATTTTTACTTATTTGAATTGCATATGTATCGCGCGTGCCATCCGTTAGTCATATTTGTAAGTAATCTCCTACTGATTGATAAAAAATAATAATAAAAAAAAGTTAAAATTATCCTTCATTTGAGCAATGAATTCTTAAATGTTTACATTTTTTTTTTCCTCACTCCCTTTGTTCAATCGGTTAAAAATCACAATCTTTACTCAATCAATATGAAATAATGATATCAACAACTAAATGACACCACCAAATTAACTTTCTGACTACGCCACTGCTTGCAACTAGAACATATATTTGTGCCACAAGTAAAACTTAGATATACTAGTTCTACTGTTCTAACACTCAAATGTATGACACAAGTGTATGGCCAAATCAAAGATTTATATGACACCTACACATTATGTTACATGGACTACCCAAAATAAATCAAATATCCGTGTCGGACTCTTGACCCTCGGACAAGAGTGTGGGATATGTGTCGGATACTTTCCATGGGACACTTCGCATATACTTGTATTTAAAACTTCTTATATGCATCATTTGTTGTGTATGGCTATAAAACACCTTTTTGACGCTATATGCTACATATAATACCATTTTATCTCACATAATAAATTGAAAATATAAAAATATGAATCTGCACCCGTAAATTTCATATTTGATGAGTCCGACCTCTAAATATGCACCACACCCAACACTCGTACCCGAATCCATGTAATTATAAGTTGTGAAAGTGCACAATTTACACATTTCCATAGGACTAGGGTTATTGTTTCCCCATCAAACACATTAGAATTTAGAACAGATTGATCAACATTCCTGGCCATATAGGTTATTTTTACCAATTATATAATAAAGCTTTACATTTAAAAAGCAAATAATAAGCATTAGAATGAAGGTACTCCAAGCAATCCACTTATCAAAAATATGTTGTATGCAATATTATTACAAACACAAAAGACTATACAGCACGACCAATATAAAAGTTCATTTATGTAGATAACCATCTAAAAATCCAATGACGAAACTGTTTTCCAGAGAACATGACTCCATAATTCTATTTCCAAAAAATTAATGAATCTCGTCTTCAAAAAGTTCTCCTGCAGTATTGTTTACTGAAATAGATATGTCTCCACACAGTTATATAAGATTTTCTACATTATTTCTTTCTGCCCTTTTTCTTTTCTTCTTTTTAAAGTGCTAGAGAGATAAACGGAACACGAATGCAGTATAGTTCTTAGCTATTTGCTTTTCTTTTCTTTTATTTTTTCACAAACTTTTTAACCTCTCTTTCTTGTAGATATTTCAACCTTTTTTTTTTATATGAAACTTTAACCTACCATTTGGCCTACAATAAAATAGTTATAAGTTGATTTTCATAGATGTTAAAACCGATGCATCTTTCTTGCAGAACCTTCGCCTCTATTCTCTCTTTCAAACCCTTTATCTCTTCAACATTATCAGTCTTCCAGTAGTGGTATAATATGGGTAAGGATGTTAAAAGTTCGCAACCATATATATAGTTTTATTGATCTGAAAGTTCACCAGTGAAATGAAGTATAAAAAATGTAAACGGAGAATATCAATGCCTAAATCAAGAATGCTCAGTTAAGCAATGAGTTATGGTTCACAAAGTAGATTTATAAATGCATCTGCAAATTATGTCTTTGCACGATTTATATATTATGATCCGATATATATACATGTCTAGACTTGAAGGGGTGTTCCAGCAGTGTGCATGGTGCATGCTCAAGATATTCTTCAGTGAGTAGACTCTGCCATTTCACTGAAGCATCAAGCAGAAAGCATTCATGTCAAAGCTTTGTGAGCATTTATATTTCTATTTCATCAGTTTGAATTTAGTTACTTTCTAATTGAGTTACACACCAGTCCTTCTCAACCATGAGGGTCTCTGCTCTGCACTACTCATGCCATGTGTACTGTGCTTTTCAGAGGACATGCATAGATGAATCTGCATTCCTAAACCTATAAGTCTTGACTCTTGACAGGAGTGTGAATTTCTGCCAGTGAATGAGCATGATCATGATATTCTACAGTGGACAAACCCTAGACCACTTCACTGTCGTAACTACCTTGTCAAACTTATGCTAGCACTAATATATATATATTTTTTTTTGGAACAGTTACTTAACCCACATGACTGTTTCTCTTGACCATGATATGACCAGATCAGGAATGCATGTTGAGAAGAACAAACACAGAAACAACCCATACCTTTCTCTTGAAAATCCTTATCAGTTTTTACAAACCCTGCAACCAAAGCCCTTGGCAATGCTGCAACCCACTCATCTCTGTTGAGATCTGATGGAATAGCAGCCAAAACATTATTCAATAGATTCTCCTTGGAGTATATAGCAGCAGCAGACCCATTGTGTCCATCAAATATCTGCAAAATAAGATAGTAGAGCAAACCATGGAAATTTTAAACAAAACTACAAAAAATAATGAAATAAATAAGGTAACTAGAATTAGTGATAAAGATGGCACGCCAGTCTCCAAAGATTGCAAAGTGGGTAATCTGCAATGATTGACATCCATTAAATGAAATGTGCAAGCAAAGATAAAGACTAATGATCAGGTTGATGGCAGATAGTAAATGAACTATAAAGCTGAACTATATCTTACAGTTTCAAATAAAATATACAGAAGTATAACAGATTATATGGCAGATAGTAAATGAACTATAAAGCTGAACTATATCTTACAGTTTCAAATAAAATATACAGAAGTATAACAGATTATATACATAAATATACATGTAAGGAAGTTAATTCTATTAAAACAAATAATTATTGGTGAAAAGTACTTTACTAGAATCAGTTCCTCTCAGTTCTCAAAGCATAGAAAAGAAAGAAAAACACAAATAAAACATTGCTGCTCCTCCGGTGCGCTCCTAGTTCAACAAATGAGTTTGCTTGCCGGTGAGGACTAGCCTATTTCTTCTCTGGGACAAAGTTTGAAGAGAAGAAAGCATACAAGACCGAAACCTAGAAACTAATGCCATGTTAGTAATGAGAATGGAAAGAAGGAAACTAGATACCTTAGGGAAGGGATTGGGAGTCTTCTTTGTTATGTGTTTAATTGAGGAGAAGAAAGGGAAAAGAAGAAAAAAATTTCTAAAATGATTGACTATCGTTTATGAATGAAAGTTTGTTGTGTAAAATTGAGGTCAAAAAAGCAATTCCATACCTTCAAAAATCCACTGAACCTTTTTCCTCTGTTCTCCCTCTCTTTCTCTATCCTCACGTACCCACCTTGGTTGTATGAGTTTTGGTGGGTTGGAGAGGAAAGGACATCCTCCTCTGCCTTCCCTCCCCTCCTTCCTCCCAAACGGTGGAACCCTCCACTTCTGTTCCCCTTCCACTTTTTTCATGCCTTCTTTCTGCCATACCAAACATACCACAAGAGAGAAAAAAAGTCTCAAGTGAAGAACTACAAATGTCAAAGGACCAAAAATTCATGCTTTGAGATGAATGTCTCAAAAAGGTCCTAAAAATAGCCTTGATTTTCAGCTTCTCTAAGACTGCAATGGAAACACAAGCTTTGCAACATAATATGATCCCAAACTGCTAGGAAACAAAAGAAATACAATGGATTGCTAAGTAGATTTCACATACCACCAGTTCCCAATTGACTAGTACTAAAGAAAGCAACCATCACACTTCAAATTTAGGAATTACCAAATGAAAAACCATTGGAATAAACGAACCCAAGAAGGCTAGAAGGCATGACTCTCTACAATATGCAATAGTTCTTATGGCTTGGAGATCATAAGAAATTGAAGCCCAAATGAAAGCAATCGACTTAATCCTATTCAACATGGAAGTCAAGAGTCTGTATGTGTTTCTACTTTCTAGTTATCGTTCTATTCATTTTGCCCCAAATGTCTCGAATATATTATTCTAGATTTGCAGATTGGAAAAAGAATAAATTTGGCACATTAACTGAGATGCAATTCTAAGTTCCTCAGGAGTCGTATATATAACATTGGCACGCTCTTAACAACAAAAGCATAAAATGAACCATGTTTATGATATTAATAGCAATTTAGTGGTTCAATATAAAGCTATGATAAGCCTTGATAAATAAGCATACAATATTTAACTAACTCCATTACACTATACAAACTTTGAGCTACTTAAGCTTTCAAAACATCTCTCTAGAAATATATTCACACCCATAGTTGTCAAATTAGGATACAAATCGTGTATCCCTTTTTTTTTTTTCTTTTTTTCTTTTTTTTGAATCACGCATTGTATCATGTACCATAAGATAATTTAGCACCTTTAAAAATAAGTAGAAAAATAAATGTAGTTATAAAAAAAATATCTTGCGAAAATAAAACAATGTATAATTCTTTAATTCTAGAAGTATAGTTCCTTAATTAAAGATATGCATGCATCAATACATACTTTACTCAAATAGCTTGTCCATAATAAGTAGGCATAAATCAATAAACATGAAATACTCTAATAACATATAGTAGATATTTGTCAAAATAAAAGTACCATTCTCATATGCAAAAAAAAAAACTCTTTTTTAATAAATTAATGAAAATTTTTTACAATATTAATTTAATTTACATAAAACAAGTTGAATAATTTTTTCAAAATTACTGAAGAGTTCAAATTCCTCCTTATTCCCTCTTCTTTGAAAATTAAATTTTCTTTCAAAGTTCAACAATCAGCTCAACTTAAATATGCATACCACAAATTATCCACTAAAAACAACCAATCCCCAAACTAATGCTTTAATAACATTAATCTCTCTCTCTTTCTCTCTCCACAGTTAATGTAAACAATTGCCGATGAACTTTGTCATAACATCAAAAATCCAAGCAATATATCCTGACTAACTCCTCGGTCTATATTGGCTAAACCTCTAATATTGATACCATAATCCTTCTTCCTAGGTTTGCTATCACACTCTTAAACAGTATTATCGGAAAATGTTGATACCCTAGAGAATTACATTTTGGAACGCACATTCCGAAACATGATACATTTGATTCTAAAACAGTAAATTTGGCAATCCAAAGCGATCCCAAAAGTTTGTTCCAATATATTTCCTTTAGGTTTCATTATGAGTAAAAAAAAAAAAAATCAAATATAATGAGCTAAAATCTAAGGTGAATGTAATTTTAACATGACAAAACATATTTTTTCTCATAATGTTCATAAAAATGTGTTGTGATATGAGTAATTTGGAAAAAAAACATACATTTTATTGGATGCCTAATTGTTAAAAAATTCACTAGACTATAGTATCTTAAATTCTAATAAAAGTGTACAATCCTACCATAATTTAGAGCATGTGGTGTACTGCATTTCCATTCTCGTTCTACATACCAGAACAAATCACGTTCCAGGTAACATAGCTCTTAAATGCAACAAAGGAGAATTCAGTATTCATGACCATAGATACAGCATAACCACATTGGTTTAGAAACACGAAAGATTTCCATAAATATAAAAGACATGAAAACATACCGCGAAAACAGAATATGTAGAAACATCATCTCCTGCAACGACATGTTGGCATTCCGTCTTGACAAATGTGAAATCCTCCCCTTTCTTACTTTGGCAAGCCTGACCATGAGAAATCTCTGGCCTCTCAATCTTCTCATTGGCCAACTCACGATTGAGCAACACAGAAAGCGGGACCGTCAGATGTTCACCCTTAGAGGACATTGTTCAGTTAATCCTCCATGCGCTCTTGTTCCAATCAAATCCACACAAAAATCCTAACCCAAAAAACAAAGAACGCATCATTCGAAGCTTTTTAACCAAAATACATACAAAATAATAAAAATCTGATTAGAAAGACTCGAACAAAATTATCCAGATCGTCAAAAGAAATAACTGCACGAAGAATGGAAATAAGCAATTTCATGACCAAGAAGCATATATAAATAACTCGGTATACAAGAATTTACAACTCAATTTACGAAAGTGCAATGCAAGTCACATTGTTTGTTTGTAGATAATATGCTTTCGTTTAAATGCGATGAATAGGCGGCGAGAATGATTGAGAAAGAAAGAGGAGGAAGATGGAGGAAAGGGAAAAAGAGAAGAGAAAAAACTTACAGAAATAGAGAGAAGAGAAGAAAGAAACAAACCCAGGGGTGAGTGGCAACTTGGTAAGGGCCTGGGGTTTAAGCCCCTAGGTCCTGGGTTCAACTCCTCTCTGAGCCAATCTCCTGGGCGTAGCACAGTTGGTTAGGAGGTTGACCTCAAGGATGCCTTATCAGCTACTTGGTGTGGGTTTAATTCTCCCCCGCTGTGCGAGTCCTAACTTAAGCGGAGCTTGCCTTGGGAGGTCGGAGCAAGCTTCCAGGTTATAGTCTCTTACTCGGAACGGGCTGTGCGAGTCCTAACTTAAGCGGAGCTTGCCTTGGGAGGTCGGAGCAAGCTTCCAGATTATAGTCTCTTACTCGGAATGGACAACAGGACACCCTGGTGATCTCCTCAAGGGGCGCTGCCTTGGACCTGCGGAAGAGAAAGAAACACAAACCGAGTGAGGAGCGCAAATGAAGCTGTTGGGTTGTGTCCCTCTCTTTTGTTTTCGTCCATTTTCTTTTTCTTTTCTTTTTTTTTTTATTTAAAAAAAAAAACTATAGTTATAACACATTAGCTGTGATATTTTAATTTCTATGATTATAATTTTTTATTTGATTTCAGTTTTAACCTTCTATTTATTTTCGCTAACTTATTACCTAACACAAGAAAATTTTCCATTTTGATGTGGCACTCGTGTAGAAATGACAAGATAATTTCATTTATTGGGCTCTCGACACTCTTTAATTTTAATAAGATGGGTTTGGGAATGATCAAATAGGGTAGAGTCGATTTTATAAAAAAAAATAAAAAACTCGATTGAGTTCAGGGTGAGGGAGAGTATTTTTCATCCGAACTCTACCCAACTCACAAATGTAAAAATAAATAAATAATAATATTGCATATATAATGTGTATAATATATTATTAATTTTATAAAATATATATAATATTATTAAGTTTTTATTATATTATATATAATATAATTTTAATATATGTGCAATATATATTCTTTTTAAGGGCATTCGATCCATAAATTCAATGTTAAATTTTTGTTGGCCAAAAATCTACTAGCTAAAGTAGGAAAATTATATTTTCACACATTTAATTATCTCAGTATGAACTATATCTTACAGTTTCAAATAAAATATACAGAAGTATAACAGTTTATATACATAAATATACATGTAAGGAAGTTAATACTATTAAAACAAATAATTATTGGTGAAAAGTACTTCACTAGAATCAGTTCCTCTCAGTTCTCAAAGAATAGAAAGGAAAGAAAAACACAAAAAAAACAGTGCTGCTCCTCCGGTGCTCTTCGTTAGTAAGCAGGATACCTTAAGTAAGTGTGCTCCTAGTTCAACAAATGAGTTTGCTTTCTGGCAAGGGCTAGCCTATTTCTTCTCTGGGACAAAGTTTGAAAAGAAAAAAACATACAAGACCGACCGAAACCTAGAAACTAATGCCATGTTAGTAAGGAGAATGGAAAGAAGGAAACTAGATACCTTAAGGAAGGGATTGGGAGTCTTCTTTGTTATGTGTTTAATTGAGGAGAAGAAAGGGACAAAAGAAGATATTTTTTTCTAAAATGATTGACTATCGTTTATGAATGAAAGTTTGTTGTGTAAAATTGAGGTCAAAAAAGCAATTCCATACCTTCAAAAATCCACTCAACCTTTTTCCTGTCTTCTCCCCTCTCTTTCCCATCCTCACGTACCCACCTTGGTTGTATGAGTTTTGGTGGGTTGGAGAGGAAAGGACATCCTCCTCTCCCTTCCCTCCCCTCCTTCCTCCCAAACGGTGGAACCCTCCACTTCTGTTCCCCTTCCACTTTTTTCTTGCCTTCTTTCTGCCATACCAAACATACCACGAGAGAAAAAAGTCTCGAGTGAAGAACTACAAATGTCAAAGACCAAAAATTCATGCTTTTAGATGAATGTCTCAAAAAGGTCCTAAAAATAGCCTTGATTTTCAGCTTCTCTAAGACTGCAAAGGAACACAAGCTTTGCAACATAATATGATCCCAAACTGCTAGAGGAAACAAAAGAAACACAATGGATTGCTAAGTAGATTTCACATACCACCAGTTCCCAATTGACTAGTACTAAAGAGAGCAACCATCACACTTCAAATTTAGGAATTACCAAATGAAAAACCATTGGGATAAACGAACCCAAGAAGGCTAGAAGGCATGACTCTCTACAATATGCAATAGTTCTTATGGTTTGGAGATCATAAGAAATTGAAGCCCAAATGAAAGCAATCGACTTAATCCTATTCAACATAGAAGTCAAGAGTTTGCATGTGTTTCTACTTTCTAGTCATCGTTCTATTCATTTTGCCCCAAATGCCTGAATATATTATTCTAGATTTGCAGATTGGAAAAAGAATAAATTTGGCACATTAACTGAGATGCAATTCTAAGTTCCTTAGGAGTAGTATATATAACATTGGCACACTCAACAAAAGCATAAAATGAACCATGTTTATGATATTAATAGCAATTTAGTGGTTCAATATAAACCTATGATAAATGCATAAGATGTATAGATAGCCTTGATAAATAAGCATACAATATTTAACTAACTCCATTACACTATACAAACTTTGAGCTACTTAAGCTTTCAAAACATCTCTCTAGAAATATATTCACACCCATAGTTGTCAAATCAGGATACAAATCGTGTATCCTTTTTTTTTTTTTTTGAATCACACATTGTATCGTGTACCATAAGATAATTTAGCACCTTTAAAACCAAAACCAAACCAAACCAAACCAAGCCTTAAGTCCCATCAAACGATTCAAAGTAAGATTCATTTTCATAAGGAATCCGAGCGGCTTTTTTACGTGTTGGCTGTCGGCTACCTAACACACAACCACCTTTAAAAATAAGTAGAAAAATAAATGTAGTTATAAAAAAAATATCTTACGAGAATAAAACAATGTATAATTTTTAAATTCTAGAAGTATAGTTCCTTAATTAAAGATATGCATGCATCAATACATACTTTACTCAAACAGCTTGTCCATAATAAGTAGGCATAAATCAGTAAACATGAAATACTCTAATAACATATAATAGATATTTGTCAAAATGGTAGAAAAATAAAACAAAAGTACCATTCTCATACTCAAAAATAACTCTTTTTTATTAAATTAATGAAAATTTTTGACAATATTAATTTAATTTACATAAAACAAGTTGAATAATTTTTTTCAAAACTACTAAAGAGTTCAAAATTCCTCCTTACTCCCTCTTCTTTGAAGATTAAATTTTCTTTCAAAGTTCAACAATCAGCTCAACTTAAATAAGCATACCACAAATTAAAACCAACTTCCTATCCATCCGCTAAAAACAACCAATCCCCAAACTAATGCTTTAATAACATTAATCTCTCTCTCTCTCTCTCTCTCTCTCTCTCTCTCTCCACAGTTAATGTAAACAATTGCGGATGAACTTTGTCATAACATCAAAAATCCAAGCAATATATCTTGAATGACTCCTCGGTCTATATTGGCTAAACCTCTAATATTGATACCATAAGCCTTCTTCCTAGGTTTGCTACCGCACTCTTCAACAGTGTTACAGAAAATGTCGACACTCTAGCAAATTACATTTTGGAACGTACGTTCCGAAACATGGTACACTTTTGTTCCAAAACAGTAAATTTGGCAATCTAAAGCAATCCCAAAAGTTTGTTCCAATATATTTCCTTTAGGTTTCATTAGGAGTAAAAAAATATCAAATTTAATGAACTAAAATCTAAGGTGAGTGTAACTTTAACATGACAAAACATATTTTTTATCATAATGTTCATAAAAATGTGTTGTCATATGATTAATTTGGAAAAAACCTACATTTTATTGGATGTCTAATTGTTAAAAAATTCTCTAGACTTTAGTATCTTAAATTCTAATAAAAGTGTACAATAGTACCACAATTTAGAGCCTGTGGTGTACCACGTTCCCATTCTTGTTCTACGTATCGGAACAAATCACGTTCCAGGTAACATAGCTCTTAAATGCAACAAAGGACAATTCAGTTAGTACTGATTCATGACCATAGATACAGCATAACCGCATCGGTTTAGAAACACGAAAGATTTCCGTAAATATAAATGACATGAAAACATACCGCGAAAACAGAATATGTAGAAACATCATCTCCTGCAACGACACGTTGGCATTCCGTCTTGAGAAATGTGAAATCCTCCCCTTTCTTACTTTGACAAGCCTGACCATGAGAAATCTCTGGCCTCTCAATCTTCTCATTGGCCAATTCGCGATTGAGCAACACAGAAAGCGGGACCGTCAGATGTTGACCCTTAGAGGACATTGTTCAGTTAATCCTCCATGCGCTCTTGTTCCAATCAAATCCACACAAAAATCCTAACCCAAACAACAAAGAACACATCATTCGAAGCTTTTTAACCAACAAATCCAACCAAAATACATACAAATCTGATTAGAAAGACTTGAAACAAAATTATCCAGATCGTCAAAAGAAATAACTGCACGAAGAATGGAAACAAGCAATTTCATGACCAAGAAGCATATATAAATAACTCAGGATACAAGAATTTACAACTTAATTTACGAAAGTGCAATGCAAGTCACATTGTTTGTTTGTAGATAATATGCTTTCGTTTAAATGCGATGAATAGGAGGCGAGAATGATTGAGAAAGAAGGAGGAAGATGGAGGAAAAGAAAAAAGAGAAAAGAAAAAACTTACAGAAATAGCGTTCGTTGGCGCAGCAGGAGGAGGAGGAGAGAGTGAGTATGTATGTATGTATGTATGTATGTATGTATGTATGTATGTATGTATGTATGTATGTATGTATGTATGTATGTATGTATGTATGTATGTATGTATGTATGTATGTATGTATGTATGTATGTATGTATGTATGTATGTATGTATGTATGTATGTATGTATGTATGTATGTATGTATGTATGTATGTATGTATGTATGTATGTATGTATGTATGTATGTATGTATGTATGTATGTATGTATGTATGTATGTATCATGTATGTATGATTGATGATTAGTTGCAGAAATCGATATATTATATTATTTTAATATATGTGCAATATATAATATTCTTTTTAACGGCACTCAATCTATAAATTCAATTTTAAATTTTCTTTGGCCAAAAATCTACTAGCTAAAATAGGAAAATTCTATTTCCACACATTTAATTACCTCCGTACACATCTTCTCTCAGTACGCATATTTATTAATTTGATTATTAATTAATTTTCTTAATCCACACACTAAATATTACAATTATACCATTCACTCATAATCATTATACACATACTACTCAACTCTCTTTCCACACACTTGTTTAGTGACCTTGCTTCCAAATTTATAGACCCATTGTGAATCTGCGTGAAAACCATTCAAGACCACAGTGTGAAATGAAGTAAAGTGAAGACAAATTATTTCATTGAAAACTCTATTGAACCTCCATTAAAAACCCTCCAAAATATTGTTGAAGATGAGGCATCTTTTTATTTTGTTATTGCATTTACCATTTTTAGATCTCTGTGCACTCCATTGCCATAAAACCCTCGTTTTTTATTTTATTTTATGTTTTTCGGTTTGGGGATTTCGGCACTGGTTTTTTGAAATTATACATTTAATTTGAAACTTAACTTTCTAATAAAAGTGATTAGTTCAACAAATTTGTTCCAAAAAAAAAAACTTTTAGCAATTGATATTCGAACATAATGAAATAATTCAACAATTGATGTCCGAATATAATAAAATAATTCGGCAGTTGATGTCTAAATATAATAAAATAATCCAACACTGGTTATCCGACTGAAAACCGCAAAAGGAAAAAAAATAAAAAAATAAAATCTGTACGAAAAAGCTAACATTTTCATCACTAATAGAGTATAAATTTTGAGATTAAAACAATATGAGAGTTGTTATGAGAGTATTGCTTTGCAAGCAATAGAGGAGTATAAAGTGTGTAGCAAGCAAAATGACAACAATGGAAAAAGTAAGGTTTAATTTATTTATTTTTTACTCAAAAGGTGTACATTAAGATTTTTTTTATTTTTAAAAGATGTGTATAGAGAATATTTTTATATAATATTATGGGTGCTAGTGGATATCCATTATGGTCATTTTAATTTAGGGTATAATTGCAACTAAAATAATATTTCATTAAGTGTGTACACTGAGATAATTAGGTGTGTGCAAATAGAATTTCCCGCTAAAATACTGAAGCCATAAGGGCATGCTTACACAAAATGACCAAAATATCCACATATATATATATTCTACCATGACTTCCGTTTATTTCCAACCCCCATTTCCAGATCACCCCAGCATATTTCCCTGACTATGCCATTCTCATAACTTTATTTCCACTCTAGGGTGGGTTTTTTTCTTTATTCCCATTATAGGGTAAAACGGCTTTACCAATACCGGTTTCTAGAAAACAGCTTTACCAATGCTGTTTTTTGTGAATAAAAAAATAATAAAATTGCCCTACACAAAATCGGCTTTTCAAAAGCCATTTTTACTTAACGTGTAATTAATTCTGAGTTACTTAAAAACAGTTTTGGTAAAACCATTTTTTAGTATTTTTTTTTCCAATTTGTATTTTCAACATAAATATTGTTTGCCAAAAATATTTTTAATACATAAAGCAGTTTTAGAAAAGCCATTTTCTAATACAGCTTTACGAAAACCGTTTTCCTTAACTATTTTTTATTTATTTATTTTTTTTTGGGAGGTTAAAAGTGATCTGCTTCAACAGTCCGAAACACACACACATTCTGCAGTTCAACAAACAACGACGAAGAGAGAGATGCGAAGAGCATTGTAGAGGAGGCGAAGAAGACAAAGGCCACTTCGAGAGCTGTAGCAAGAATGAAGAAGACGAAAACCTGAAAACATCCTCTCACCTCTCCCTTCCATCATCCACACCGAGGTTTGTTTTGGATAGATTAGGGTTTTGATTATTGATTGGGGATTTTGAAGTTCAAAATTAGGTTTGTTTGGGACTCCAGACATTGACAACAAATTCTTTATGTTGTCATGTCTGAGATTGTAGTTGTACTGTACCCTAGCCCTCATCTCTTGAACCCCAAGAAACGGTTGTTTTGGACTGAGATAGGTGTTATGCTTGTTATGGTCGAGTAGAGAGTTTATCCTGTGTATGTGCTGTATTGGCCCCTCTACCGAATGACTGACTTTCCTTTTTATTTTAGCCTCCAAATTTTGATTTTTGTGAAGCACCCATTCCTTCCCAGAACTGCGGTGTCAACGAAACATCCACTTGCCTTTAAGATTGTTTTTTCAACCCCCAAATGTTGTTTCTTGTGAACCCCCCATTGCTTGACTTCCCATCAGTGTGGTCCTCATTTTGACTGGACTTCCAGGAATTGAATGGTGACTCTTATTGCTATCCTGGTGGAGAGGCTTAGTGAAGGGAAGTTTTTGACGGAGCTGCCCATTCTGTTTGTTGTGCCTTTATGCTAGGCACTTTGTCTATCTGAACTTTATTAGTCCCCCTAACTGGACCAACCACTTGCCTTTGAGCTTGTTTCTCTAGCCCCCAAGAGTAGGTTTATGTCAACCCCCCCTTCCATACCAGAGTCCTCATCTTCATTGGACTTCCCAGAATTGAATGGTGACTTTATCTTCTTGAGTTTCAGAGATTGAAATTCTTCACCCAGACCATCACTATTTGAAGAAGCCTAGTTAAGGGAAGCTCTTGATTGGGCTACCTGTTTTGTTTTCTATGCCATCTAAATTGCATTACCCCTCTAATTGGACCAACCACTTGGCTTTGAGATTGTCTCATCAGCTCCCAAATTATGTTTTATGCCAACCACCCATTCCTTTCCATCAGTGTGGTCATCATTCATACTCAACTTCTTCTAGGAATCGCCTGGTGAATATTCCTGCCATCCTATCTGTTACTGTAATTCAACTTTACTGTCACGACCCCAAACAACCCCTAGTAGTTTGGTGCCGTGATGGCCAGTAATCCGAGATTACTAAAGGCCAACTTTCTAAATTCACACACAGACAGAGTATATATATATAGGGCTCACAAATGCGGAAACAATAATTTAAAAATACAAGTGGTCCATAAGAGCAGTGCGTAAGTTACATGGAATGGCACACAACTTTACATAATATTACAACTTGAATACAAATACAATAGAGTACAAAATACATTTTACATCTTGATCAAAAGGCTTCTCTAGCCGACGTGTGTAAATTACAAGCATTATAAGCCGAGAAGCATGATTTTCAAGACTGCCGACGTGAATACAAGTTAGGCCGACATAACAAAAACCCAAAACAAGCTTGCGAGTCACACCTAGGCGTCACCGCCTTCCTACTCATCACCTACATATATATAGAGAGGGTGAGCTTGGATACTCAGTGAATGGTATAAGAAATAAAGGGGTTTGCATGACTGGTATTCAAGATCTTTATCAAACAATACATAACATAATTAGTACAAGTCAAGGGATGAACCAAGTCCATCTTCTGAATCTGTCAAGTTTTGAAGGATGCTTACTAACATCATTATAATACAAGTGATGACATCTCGGCAAACAAAACCCACGCGGTAAACCGTCAGTGGCAACCAAGACAAGACAAGGCAAGACAAGGGAGATATCTCAAGTCAATGGTGTCGTTGCATTATAGTCCCCGAACACTAAGGACTTGTGCTACTAATGCTTAGAGTCCCCTAGCACGTACGGACTTCCAAACTTTGTGCTACAAATGCTTATAGTCCCTTAGCACGTACGGACTTTCAAACTTTGTGCTACAATTGCTTATAGTCCCTTAGCACGTACGGACTTTCCAAGAATGTCATCAAAACAAGATATATATATATTTTTCGATTAGGAATAACCATTCATGCTTACAAATACTTTCCAAAACGAAGCAAAACAAGACTTTATCAAAGCATTATAACATAGCTTAATTTAAAATACCACTCACTTAGTTCTTCAAACGTCGGGGTCAAGGCAAGTCCAAATCCTACAAACACATGGCAAAGTCTGTTGAATGCGCTTTCAAACAAGTTTCACATGCATGCAGATGATCTCGGGAAAACATGCTGGGCAACTACCAGGTCTAGGCCGAGGTTCCACATCCCCTGGCCGAGGTGTGACCTCGATGGCCACATTCAAAGGAATGAAGTCGGGAAAAAATCTGGGTTTCCCTTTTCTGAAGAACATGATGGACATGAAAAACAAGAACACGGGAAGATGAATGCAAAGATCGTGATTTGCCATTACAAAATCTGAGATTTCATGCTATGAGTTCAAAAACATGGACCTGGGTACCCATATTCAAGGATCTCGTGAGAACAAACACAAAAACGTGAATCTTAATGTAAACTTTCAGATCAAACAAGACTTTTCCTTCAAAAACACATGAACACTATTTTCTCTTTCCAAAACCAAATTTTAAATCGATGCATGACATGCAAAACAGGTTCGATCGTGCAATGCAGCTAGATGATCAATAAGAATGACATGAGTAAATCAAGAATCTAACCTCAATACGCGAATCTAATGGTTTGATCTCTAGGAATCAAGCTCGAAAACCAACTCTCTCACTCTAAACTTCTTCTTCTTCTTCTAGAGTTTCTCTCTCCTCACAAACAAAGGCATACAGCAAAATGATACATTTCTAAGTCTGCTGGCTGACTTAACCCTCTACAGAGGCACGTGGCAGCGGCTGGTTGGTGCTACACAGAAAGGTGGTTGAGTGACAAGACAAAACTATGACAAAGTGTGTTCAACAAGCAAGACGGCATGGGCACTCTG